ACATACATACATACATATATATAGAGGCATAGGTGTATAGACATACTTACATACACGTACATGTATATGCTTGTTGATTCGCGGGTTGGTTTGATTGCTTGTTCGTGTGTATGTATACCTATCTTAATATGCATTTATGAATGGGGTTTTATGTATGCGCAAGCTCAAACATGCGGGCTATATTCACACATAGATAGATGTGCAGTTGTATATTCAGCTGCATATGCATGATACATATCTTAGATGGGCTTGTTCATGTGGTCGAATGCATGCATGAGCTTTCCAGAATTCTTGATTCGCTACAGAGAAGGCCTCTTCCCCTGTGCTGGAGAACCGGCCGTTCCAGCGACTTGGGCCCACACAAAGGCAGCGAGATACAAACAGCCAGGAATGAACATGTGAAGGTATGACGGGCTACGAAGTCTTGCGCGCTTTGATTGAACTTGGCAATACACTAGCAATGCATGCTGGCTTACGGCTAACGAATATACTCTCACCAACAGTGCCCTGCCAAGCCGCACACCATCAAGTGTCGCGACTGCATGCACGCACCCACCAGCAACCCAGCCCCACACAGACACACACACACACACATGCGCGCGCACAAAATGCACAAAGTAATGTGCATGGCGAACCCTGGCTCGGATCACTGCGTCGAAGAGCACCTCGGCCTCGGAGTGCTCCATAGTTTGAAGGGTACATGGTCTAACGCAGCTTGCATGGGCGTGGAGGGTCCCATCAAGAGATGCTAGGCAGCAGGGGCGCAACGTCCTTTTCGGGGAGCCTGGAGCGCTTCGTGCCGAATCTATGCACAGACACTCCTCTGGTGCTATTGGCGCTGACGCAACCGTCCAGGCATTCGACAACACCCCGCCACCCTTTGGCCTGTGTCCTGTGACATAGGATGGGAAGCCCAGGTCTGGCCCGAAGAGCGGCCCTTCCAAGGGCCACCGGCCGGCAAACTTCCTACCGCCCTGGACAAAGTGATGCTGAGACTTGGCCCCTTCGACGAATCATTGCATGATGCAACCAACAAGAGATGGTAGGACTGGACTTGGGAACCAACATGCAACGTAGACGTAGACACTGCTTGAATTGAGCACCCGTTGGCAGACCTGGTCGCCATTGGGCCGGCGATTGAAACTCCTCTAGAATCCGGCATGTTGCAAAGGACGCAGACTTGCCCTGGACTGGTGGTGACCGAACCCGTAAATTATGGTACATGTCCCGACCAAGCCTAATACGGAATCAGCACTCCCGGCTGCATGCGAGCATCTTTGTCACATGCACGAAACAGGCTTGAGCTCGTCCCAGACGAGTTCCAATTAAACACTCTCTGGCTACGGACGTCATTCTTTGACTGACCCGTTTCTCATGAGCCACTCGCAATGAGCTTTCTCTCTCCTGCGGGAGACAGACAGTTCCGTGCGGTGGCCGTTCTCCACCCGCGTCCATGCTCAGAAATGAACACAACCTGAAGAGCAACGCTGCCAGGGAAACTCCGGCGCAGAAGCCAGCCAGCCGTTCCGAGACTACATCAGAAAGCCCCAACGATGCTTCCAGATGATGCCCGCCTTGCACTCCATTGAAGGCTCAGCTCGTTAGTCCCGTCCGCGCGACGGGTCGGGGGCCATGAATGCCTCCACAGTGCTCGGGCACGCCAAAGAAAGCAGAACTGCAAGCTTGTGATTGAGAGCCTCCAGCTGCTGGTCTAGATCGTCGACATCTGGCACCACCTGCCTCCTGGGGCTCGCACCGCGAGCCTCCCGGCATTGCCCAAGTCCATGGCACTTTCAAAGCTTGCCGGTGAATGTCAACACTCACATGCATTCAACCAACATGCTATCCCCTCAAGGTCGAGGTAATTTTGGAGCATGAAGCTCATCTGCTAGCCTCGGACTAAAACGATGGAGCGTTCGAGAGTATAGGCGATGATCCTCCGATGGTAAGATCTGTTTTTAGCGGTCCCGTGCCTTGCGCCCGCGACCACCGCGTGGCCTTGCTTTTGCCGGGGCTTCTGGGCTACACTGTGGATGAAATGACGCGTGAGGTAGAGACGGCCACCATGAAGTCATGGCTGAAGTAGATATGGATCGAGTCCTAACTCTTGGGAGCCGAGATAAATTCCCCCAGCCACCTACAGTAAAACATAGCGGAGTTCTGCCCGTCTTTAGAACACGCTACAAGGAGCGAACACTTCGCAAGAGCCTCTGTAGGATTCTCCGAAACAGATCTCGGAGTAGACCAACTGATTCTTGGGTAAATGCACAGCCCTGTACCGAGCATCCAGCCTTCGGGGGGGAGGTGTCGGGGACGCTTCCCGATAAGTTGCCTGTTGGCTGAAGCCATGGATGTTCGGCAGGAACAGAAAGGCAGCGCCCCAATTGCCTTGTAGGAATTGTTCCATGACCCAGCCTGAGTTAGAAAGCGTCTGGCTGCGAGAACATGGACTTCCGAAAGTCCACAGAGCTCTTGGGAGCACGGCTCCGCCTCCGCCATTCCAAGATCCTCTACAGCACGGCAGGCAGAAGCAAACCAAGTCTCAAGAAGACCCCCAGGACCGGCCTCCTCGTCCTCCTCCACCCCGAGCATTATTCAGTATTCTGGGATCCTGCACAGACAGGCCCAGGAAAAAAAGCAAAGAGCAGCACGGCTTTGCTTCTGCCTCGCTTCTTTCGAAGGCTTCTGCAAGCACCTTGGGCCGCTGAGACTATGAAGGAAGTTCGTGTCTCTTTTGAGGGTTGAGCGAGCTTTTTGTCTGAAGAAACCGTGGTCCAACGCCTAGCTGCCCCAACATGGGCACCAAAGCAGGAATTAAACAAACCCTGTAGGTTTTCCTGCGCCTGGCCTAAGTCCTAAGCAATGTGCCTTTTATGGGAGGCGAAGGTGAACGGGAAAACCAAAGAATTACATTGCAGAACCCCTGTCTCAACGGTTGACGGAATCAAGAAAATGAACGTGAATGAACTGAAGAACATCCCGGAGTTTCGCATCCTGCTCTGTGCGAATGCAAGGATTCTTGGATCAAAATTCACCGTCTGGCCCTCTGAGGTTTACACTTCTGCCAGCGGCTCGGAGAGGCTGGCATCCGTGTCCTTGGAGCTCAAAGAGTGAGGGTTCAGGGTTTAGCGTGAGCCAGGAATGCGGATTTCTGCATGCAAAGCTGAGGTGTTGGCCCGGATGTCTCGCTCAAGGGCATTGGCAGCTTTCTGCGAAGATCGGCTTTCGAGAACAAGCGCACACAAGAGCCACGCAGCAGCCAACAAAGTAGCAGCAGCAAGATTTACCAAATTTGTTCGAGGCCACTTATAGGCTTCACTGTGCCGGCGTAGACTCGCCGCAGACGTAGACCCGGCACGGCGAGAGCACGATTCGTGCCCGGAAGCATGAACGACACTGTCGCGAGGAAACGCAGGGGACTGCGACGGGAGCACGCAGAGCGCCCCCAGGGCCACGAGGCCAAAAACGGGCAGCACTCCCAGGCAACACCTGTAAAATCACGAAAACCGAACCGCACGTGGCAAAGAGCATGATTCCGACTTCGGAAAACTGCTGCAGTCGACTCAAGCCTCAGGCCGTAACAAAACTCCGAAAACACACCCCCAAAACCTACACCCTAATCCCAAACCTCACCACCTAATTCTCGTAAACCCTAAATCCTGGGCGACAAGCCTACACCAAACCCCATATCCTAAACCCGACGCCCTGAACACAAAACCCTAAGCCCCAAACCCAAACCCTAAACTCAAACCCTGAAGTTGGCCCTAAAGCCGATTCACAGCTAAATGAGAATCCGGCGGTGGCTCTCGCACTGCGACTCGTGACTTAGGCGAAAACTCGACTCGATTATCAACGTTGTAACGCAGCCGGAACGCATAACCGCCGACGCTCGACACTTGAGTTTTGTAACGTTTTGATACTTCTTGCCATGAAAGTAAGAAGACCTAGTGTTACCATACTTTTCGGAAACACTCCAAACATGGTCGACAAAGGCCCTGCACGACTTGTACTCTTGTTATGAAATGCTCGCGGCAGCTTGCAGCAAGACTGGCAGACATCCCGGGCGCACCGTGTCCAGCAAAGCGAGCATGATGCACAAGGCAAACATGACCTCCGTCCAGGCGATCAGAATCCTGTCTGTAGTTGCAGACCAACTGGTGACGCTGTCCCGCCAAGGCTATCCAAGGTGTTGCTTGTGCATGCACACTAAGAGAGTGTCGCTTCACGGAAGCTGCAGGGACTTCGCTTGTCCCTCACGCTTTGCACCGACTGCAGCCATGGAGCTGAGCGCTTGCCGTTGGTTCCCACCTGTGCATATCGGGAGACGTCTGAAGTTCGCTGGATTTCGCTGGCATAGACACGCGCATGCTGACGACGTTGGGCTTGCAGATGCGCTGAGAGCTGCACCGCCATTATGTCTGGTCGATCTTTCCTCAAGCTAGCAGTGCAGTGAACCTGTTGATTGCAATAAACTGATCTCTGATGCTTCCCCGCCCACGACGGTCAACAAAATGCGGAGCAAGTCTCAGGCGGCAAATGCTAATCTCATCGCGAGCTATTCGGAGATCTCTGACGCAAATGGAGGTGACCTCTTTGTCCTGCACAGCTCAGCCACAAAGAAGCATAAAGACGGCAATATTCACAACGTGCACACCATTCTACAGCCCACTACATGCCTGAACTGCACAAAGGCCTCGGCGACCTAACCCCAACCCATTTCCAGATGCCATAATTATTCTGAAAATCCAACCTCTTCAGAACAAAGGCAAAACGAACGTAACATATCTGCAAGTTGGTGACCTGGCAATACTCGTAGAGCCCATCGGCTCTGCCGCAGCTTCCGGTGGCTGCCTTGCGTCAGGACTCCAGGTTGGGGATCCAGAGGCAAAGCAGGGAAGACTGAAGAACATCAAATGATCGTGCATGGTGATGACATCAATACAAGAAACACAGGGACTGAGAGACGTGAAGACGCAAAAGCGCGCACACACACGCATGCACATGCATCCACATAGTCTATAACATATACATGTACATACACATGCATGCATATTAATATGCCTTTGGCCTTTGTGAATACTCTCTGTCTGGCACGTAACACTGAATAATGGTGTTTTGTCAGCATCCTCTCCTCTGTACTATCGATGCCATGAGATCAGCATCAGCACAAAGCATGATCGTCACCGTTCATCGTCATCGGCGTCGCTCCGAAGCATGAAAGCTCGGCTGGGGCCGCAGCCTGCAAAAGCCACGAGGCGTTGCCATGGAAGATCGAGTGGGTCGCCAGCTCAACAACTGCCGATTCAGGATGATTCAGGGATGCTTGCAGCGGCTTACGGCGTTTCTGAGGCTTTGGATCCAGGGAACAGAAACCACTCTGAACTTGACAACAGAGCATTGCCGTTGCACTGTCAAGGATGCCGAGCATGAAGTCGAAGCGGAATAAGACATATCCAACCACAACTAGTCTTGAGCTCTCCTGCAGAGATGCAGCAAACGCGCTGACACTTACTCAGCTGGCCTGGAACATTACTGTTGACGATGTTCATCTTGACACCGTGACCTCACCGGCGAAGATGGTTGAATCCAGCGGTGGCTGGACAGGTCATCGTCCATGGGCAGGGCCAGAGTCAGCAAACAAAGTCAAAAGCAGGGGGCCATGGTCAGCAAACAACTCGGACACAAGCGTCAAACACCGCTGGCGCAGTCAGAAACGCTCAAAGCCACTGTCGGAGGCACACCCGCCCGAATTGCAAACATAGAAAGGTTGCCCTTTGGCCCTGGAAATGTGGTGCAAGTTTGCCGTGCATGTCCACGCCAGTCCTTTTCTGAGGGCTGCCAAACTTACCTTTAACAAAACTCTAACATCATCACCAGCCTGAATTTCGGATAGTTTCTCAAATAATTTTCTTTCATTACAGACTTTGCTTTTACTTCTATGCTATTCTCGTCGTGGTGTGCATCATCAAAAGTTACTCCAGTGGTGCTATGTACCATCTTCTATTATGCTTGCTTGTCTAAAACTGGTCTTAACATTACAGTCCAAGAACCCTTATGTATTTGTAACCTATTGCTTATCATCTTCTTTAATGTTCTTATCATCCTCTGCGCCACATTCGCCTGTGTCAGTGATATTTTATGCGTTATTCCGAGTTATTCCGTCGTCTTTAAGATATTCTTGTAACTTGTTTGAGTTAACCCTACCTTCATCGTCGCTATATATTGCGTGTTCATCATAAACTGATGAAATTTGAACTCCATCGTCTTCCCATTTCTGTGCCGTGCTTAAAGCCATATCTTCAACAAAATAATACTGTGGAGAGGGTTTTGTCATAACACATTTCTTAATTTTCTCAATTGTTTTACCCTCAATCACGCTCTACTACTTGAAGGCTTTCTGTCTTTATCTAGTTTAGTAACCAATTAACTACAAATAGTAACTCGTGCCTCATAAATTTCTTTGATAACCCTTCAATAGCATCATGTTTTGTTAATGGAACACACCTACAAAGGTTGCGAAAGCAGCCTCCCTGCTTTTGACTCCTGGGGGTCGGCAGCATTGCTGTCTTTTCCTGACTCCTTTTGCTGAAAGCATTCATGCTCAACAACTGCACTAGCCACGTGGACTTGGCGTCACGATCCAGAGCACAGCAACACCGGCGAGTGCAGTGAGGGCGCAGCCTTCGTAGACACCACCTGTCACAGGAGAGCGAGACCGAGGCTGCAACCCCCAAGCTGGCTGCAGCTCGGCAAGGATCGTCACTCGAAGAAGATGGCTTTGTGCAAAATCCCTCAAGAAAGGCGAAGATGATGCGCACCTGGCTTCTTCGGCTTGCCGTAGTCGTAACTGTCGTCGTAACGGCCGCCACCACCTCTGTAGTTATAGTCCCAGCCCATGCTGCTCCAGTCCTGCCAGCCCCAGTCGGACCAGTCCTCAGGGCTCAGCGCACTGCAGTTACTGCACCTCTGCCTCTTGCGTTCAACAAGCATCATTCACCATCACTGGTGTCTTCCGTCTTCCTTACTCAACCGCCAGGCCTGGCTGCCTCTGCCGTTTCCCCAGCCGCCCTCACAGGATGTCGTGCAAACGGCCCAAGTGATTTCTCCAAGCCCCCAGGAATTCGGACGTGGCGAGCTCGCCTCACCGCCGTCGTCAGACACGACGTGCCTCTGTCTGGATTGCGACCGTGAAGTCGCCTGCGACGTACTGGTGGCGTGGAATCCCAAGTACCGTACCGTGTAAAGGGCTTCGTGGCGAACATGCTGAAAACATCCTTGCTGGCACATTCTGCTTAATTCAGGTCGACATTCTGCACATTACCCATGTCACTGATACCGCGGTTTAAGCCATGTTAGAAGTAAAAACGCGCCAGCATTCCTGGCCTTGTCAAGGTCGGCTCGTACTCTCCTCACAGGTCGCAACGAAGCCAAGTGATCTGGCAACGGGTTCCGTGGCCTTTTCGGGTTCCGGGAGTCGACAAGTGCAGTTTTTCGGGTGGCATCTCTTCTGGTTTCTCCCGTCCTCCGACTTGGAGAGGATGCATCGGTGTATCCCTGCAGCACCAGACGGAACGAAGAGAAGCAAGCCCTGCATGGATCCCAGACGAGCTGGCCTCATAGGCCTTGCGCTTGCTGGCCTGGTCTCACCGAGTAATGCGGAGCTGGAGATTTGCGACATCGTCTGCTGCGCACCCGACTCTCCATTCCCTTTAGGGTTGCCACCGGCCGGTCGTCGCCTCTGCCTGGCCCTGCAGCGGCGGGGGCCCCTCGAATCCTCTGTGAATTCCCCCTTTTGCAACCCTGCAAAACCCTCAAAGTAGCATAATAGCATAAAGCAGCGTCAACCTGAAGGCATCTGACATCTGTGCGCACCATCATCCGTCAGTGATCGACCAAGAATAACACGCCGCCTTCGCTCTCGCCACGGGCATTCCTGGAGATTGCCTCGTCCTCCAGGGCAACCAAAAGGGTCCTTCTTATGTATGGCGACCCTACTCTGAGATGCAGGTACAGTCGTTGTTGAGCATTGACCTGTGAAGCACTTGAACTGAGCGTGCCTCGCATCTTTCGTAAGCTCCCTGAAGAACCTGGACGGAGCGACATCACTCGGAGTCCGCACTTAATTCTGGAGACATGTCTGCTCGAGACGACAGCATCCAAAGTCACATGCCGAAAGGACGGGCATCCCGGCATCCCCCATGCCTACCTCTTCCCTCTGCGGTACCACGGCAACACGGTTGCTTCTGAGCTCCGTGCATCCGCCAGTGGTTCTGACAAGCTCTCATCCAGGTCCTCAGGACGTAAAAGCTGTCGGAAGCCCAGGATCCCTGGCCGCCCTGGGCCGCACTGGCCTTGATGTCGCGCTCCAGGTTGTGGGCCGCTTGCTGAGCGGGGAGACACATGGAGACACAAGCGCATCTGAAAAGAACACGGGCTCTACTTTGCTACATGGATCCAGCTAGCCAGAAAGCATTCAGAACAAAAACGGCAGTGTCTTCGGCAAACCAGCAATGGCACAAGACATACTAAAGCCCCCGCGAGCCTTGTCTCGCAAGGCAAGCAAGATCGACAAGGCCATCATTACCTCCCCGCGGCGACAGGAAAGTCTCAACATTCTAGCCGAAGGGGTGGAGTTGCTGCTGCGGTGCTACAATGCTACATCTACTCTGCTGGCGCAGCTGGCGTGCTCAAGAATTCCCAACCAACACTGACAGTTCATCAACTGCCGAGCTTGTCAGAATTGTCGCATCAGCCGAATGACACCAACAAGCAAAGGCAAGGCCCTTCCATGGGATAGCCCGACATTTAGGCCGTTGGACGATTCGTATCTGCCGCCGAGTTTCTGAGCGCTTGCCATTGGTTCCGACCTTCAGCACCCCCTAAAGTCTTGAGTGAAGCTCAGTTCCCCTAGCCGCCAATACTTTCAACAGTTCACAGTAAGCCCAAAAGCCCAAAGCTCCCCGACCCCCGTGCCCCTCACCCACCAACAAACAGCAAGTGAGAGTAAAGATTCTCCCTGCCAGAAGTTTTGCACAAAGCCGGGGGCCGCACGACCAGGATGTCTGGGCGGGCCTTCCTCGGCTCCGCTCTGCCAAAGGAACGAAGACAAACAGCTACAGCATGGCAATTGTCATCGCCGCAACGACAGCTGCAATGATTTCATTTGTGTTGAGACTGCAGGCTTGGGAGAGGTGTGCAGGATACGTCATCAAGCGTCGTGGATTTGTTAGGCAACTCACCTTCTGCTCCCGAGAACAAGCTGGACTTTGCAAGAATAGAAGATTCACGTCCAGCTTCACTGCATTCACCGTTAAGGCAAGCTTCAATCGGCAAATGCTCATCTCATCCTTGGAGAGACGGAGCTCCCTGGAACATGCCGAAGCCACCTCTCTGTCCTGCGACATGTAAAGACACCCTGTGAGTGCAATGACACAGTTGCACATCAGTCGCATTGCTTCAAGTTGAAGTGGCGCGAGCATATTGTATAACAGTAGTATTCTAACGACACATTGGCTAGATTCGACATTCGTGGACATGGCACTTTTCCGATGGCAGCGCTGGACATCGGATAACCGCTCCAGACACAGCGCTGCGAAGCGCTGGAGGGAGCTGTGGCTGCAAGTAGGACGAGCAGAGCATGGTATGACAACAAGGGAACTTCACCGACTTCATCAGCAGATCAAGCCGTGGTGAGTGCAACATGTAAGATACAGTAAGGCTGATGTTCGTGAAAGCATTGCACCCAGCTCCAGTCATAAGCACCACACCCTCACACTGCCTGGACACGCACAAGCTCATAATGGATTCTGCTGATTCTCAGACGCACATTCACACACGTTGGGTCGCTCATGTTGTGCAGCCTGCATTCGTTAGTTGGTGATATCTGTCAAGCTTGTTCGGTCTTTCCACAAACATCGGACTCGATATGAAGCACTTACGTCGTGCCATGTGGCATGAGATTGCAGTACTGTTGCCAGTGACAGCTGTACCTCTCGATGTTCGGGCTGTGCGTGTGGTGCATGGCTTCCTGTGAAAAGATGACATTTTACCTTCCCCGTTCCTGTCCACTTTGTCTTCGAGGGGACCCGCCCTCCGAATCCCGTTGACCTTGCTGTCATCATATTTGCCACGGCACCTGCGGCAACCAGATGCACAGAGTAGGCAACCATCGACAGTTGTGCGAGACATCGGAGAGTTCTTGTGTTGTCAATGTTGAGTGTCTCGGTGCAGTACTCTAGCCTCAAGATGCAGAGGCACAAAACATCTGTCCTGGTAGTACTCGTAGAGTCCATCGGCCTTGCTGCTACTGCCGGAAGCAGCCTGATCGAAAGGCAGGTGTCTTCAGCACGCGGCTGGCATTTCCTTGCTACATCTGGGAACTGACAAGGTGCAGAAGATCAAGATGTCCGGCAGTCACAACATTCTGAGAAGGTCGTCACACGCCCGAACACCAGCGGTCCTGCAACAGCCACGACGCATTCGGGTGAAAGATGGAGTCGGTGCCCATCTCCACAACTGGCCGCCAGCACCGCTGTGGACAAGTGGACAAGCTCACAGAGAGAAGCGAATGAGACTCTCTCCCTGGTTTCTGAGCTTTTGGGAGGCACCTGGCACAGATTTCTGAACGATGTTCAGCTTGATGCCGTATCCTCGCGCACAACATAGTGCTTGCACAACACAGACGCTGTGTTCGGGCATTCCCGGATATTCCAGCACAACGTGCAAGTTCTGTCTTCGAAAAAGGGCTGCAGTGCTGCAGTTGGTGCTGCAGACCGAGCTCGCGACGGTTGTATGGCTCAGTCGGCCTACCTCCACCGGGTATACGAGTCGCAGTGTGCAGACTTGAAGCTGGAGTGAAGCTGCCGCTGCTGCTGGCCTCTGCGGCTTCCGTGGCCCTGGCATTTTCGTCTGCATAGCAGAAAAAACTCCAACCTGCAACGCAAGCACCGTTTCCGTGCCTCGCGACGGTCCATCTTTGACTCCTCCGCACGCTCTTGTAACAAGAGCTTTAAGAGTGTGACAGCCTCTGAAAGAAGGATGCGGTTACGGCCATGCGGCGTGCATGCTGTTGTCGCGGCCCTTTCCGTCCTTGAGCACGGACGTGCCAAGAAGCTCCCAGGACCGCCACAGGTGCCGGGCCGAAGGCACCCCCCGGCGCCAGCGCGCTGCCGGATGTCGTCTACTTTGAGCCAGCACAGGACACAGAATGCGGAATACGTATCAGCAAGTGGATCTGAGATACAAGTGTTCCCCGGAGCTGCTGAAACTGCCAGACACAACTGACGCCCGAACCCACCTGTCATCCTTGAGTGGAGAGGGACAAAACGAGGGATTCTTCTCCCAGGCATAAGGGTCGAGTCAAGCCCGCATGTTTGCGGACCTTCGGGGAGGGGCGAACATGGGATGGGTTTGTAACCGGTGCTTCGCAGATTCTATCTTATCAGTCTAATCTCATACAGCATCGGAAGGTCATCCAATGTCTGAAACATGCACAGATTCAAAATTTGGTCGCTGGGACATACTTGTCATCGACGAAAGTACTACATTGCGGACAGATGCACAAAGGGACCACGAAGTTTCCCCAGTTTGACGACTGCGCAGGTGTGATCGGGCAACAGGCAATAGGCCCACCCGACTGTTCGGTCTGGTAGGGGAGATTAAAGAAATAGAAAGCATGGCAGTTATATTCAGGCTGAAGCCCTCAAGCACAGGATAATGACCGCACCTGCAGTCACTTTCGTCAGACATGGCCTGCTCCGACGGCATCAACCCTTAACATGTCAGACAAACCGGTGCTCGTTCCCTCTCTATCTCTGTGTCAGATCCGCAGGTATTGCTGCAGGCTGAGGTCGCGACACTTGGTCAAGAGGAGCTCTCTGGCCACCTCGCCGTCCTGCAACAGCATGGAACATCTGACATCACTTCCCAGCAATTTCAGGCCCCGTGCGCAACAAACTGCAGCTGCTCAGGCACGCTTTCCACAGCAGGACCAGATCCGCTCTGCACGTGCTGTACGAGTGTCATTATCCTCCTGAGAAGAAGGTCAACACTCCGATCCTGTCTGACGACCTGCAGATGTATACAACAACAGACAGACCGCCAAGCTGGATGCAAGGCAAATGCATGTGGGAGCCCTGATGGCAAGAGTTAAAACTGGCGCTTGTCCCGGTGAGCTACCGGTCACTAGATTGTGCACGGTGTCGGAGAGCACCAATTGTAACCATGGCATCCCTGACAAGTTGCCGGGCTGTGGCACACATGGTCGCCAGGAGGACACGTCACTGGGCAACCTGTGCTTGCCGGATGACAGCTGTCCGTCATGGTGCTGGAATCATGGCACATCACCTCATCGATCCCACAGTAGACTGGACAAGACCCAGGAGAACAGTAGCTGTATCCATCGCAGCTGTCGCATGTCGGCGGCACATGGCACACGTTGTCACCGGGGGGACAGGTGACGGGGCAGCCAATGCTCTTCGGATGGCAGCTGTCCGTC